TAGATACTATTTCGAGAATAGAAATGCCTGAGTCAGATACGTGCTCTGTATAGACGAGTATAGAACCGTTTCATACGTGACAGCAAGCCTGAAAGGGATACTCGGAGCAAGCGGACAAGATCACAAATATTGGTTGCGGGTACGGAGTAATCGGATACAGTAAACTATGCAGGACAGAACCTTGTTGTTCGAAGAGTTACATAGCAACGAAGATTTCTGTATGGCACGAAATTTCCGATGTCGCCACATGTGTACACTCGGCACTCGGTCCTCATCGATGTATCTGGCAGTGGGCCAAGTCAGCGTGTCATTTGGACATTCTTAGTGGGCAGCGATCGCGCGATGTCGACTTTGGTTCGACCGGTCTTATGTCATCTAGTACCGGTGCGGGTTAGATATGTATTCCTCCCAGTTTCCAGTGTTCCGACTCGGCTTCAGGTCAATACTTGCGTGTTGTCCGGAGATCGTACAGAAGAGCATAGAGGGACGGGGGCAACTGATCAATGGGATACCTCCCATATCACCAGATAAACCCTTTCTTTGCATCTTTAAATATTTAAATCTCTTCTTCGAACTTTATTAGCGCTCGTTATCAAGCAGGTGGGGCTGTTTGAAATATGCTGATCCGAACTGATCCGTGAAGATCTCATGCATGCCATATTCTGCCATATTCAGACAGGAACGGCCTTGGTGTCTGGACTGGTCTAAATACCTTTACTAATTAAATCAATATGACAAATCTTTCCGGAGCTTCCTATATTATAATTATAGAACATAGACAAACCCTTAGGGTTTTAAGCTCACAAGGAGCCCCAGTGGAAATTTGGAAGTTCTTATTAGTTCTCGCGATCTCCTGAAAGCGGAACACATCCTTTTTAGTTTGAGTCAGCGCATGACTCCAATATTTGACCTCCCTTCCTTCTTTCCAAGCCTTCATTGTCTATTTAAATCAGCGTATAGACTATTAAGTATATGATACGCCGCGTAAGCATATAATTCTTGGTGACGGACGCCAAGTTTCTCGCCGTCCATAACCATTATTCAACCAAGTCATAAAGCAAGGACACTGTGATATATCTTCCCTCATCATTTAATTCTTCAAAGCTGTGAACATTCAACGTAAAAAGTCTGTCGTCAACCGCGATGGGAGTTTGACTATTTTTCAAGGTTCTGTCTGAGGCACGAGGATTGAACAGGGTGGTTAATCAACGTGTACGTCCTACTATGGACTATGGATTGGACGAGGCTATATATATATTACTTGTCCTGAATGACTAACAAGTTTGTTTACTATTCAGTTCTAGCCTAGCACCTTCTGAATTAGGAAATTGCGTTTCGCTTCGGCAAGCGCCAGAGGTAGGCCCTGTTGTCGAATCTAGGTTTACTAATTGCTGAGAACCGTGACGTTGTGAAATATAAAGCCCTCGCATGAGAACTCGAAGCATATGCATAAGGGAATAGCGGCTCTTAACACATGATAATTGCATTGATGTATTATCCTCCTAACTACTTTTAGAATCGCGATAAATACTTCGGGCATTTTATAAATGAGATAGAAGTTAGATGGACTTTAACCTTTAAATTAATACCATACTAAATAAATTACAATTTGAGTTGTGAATTATCTGCAATCCTGATTACACTAGCAAGGCTTGTCTCAGCTTTTCTAGTAATTTCGTGATGAGTTCAGGAGTCGGGAGTGCCGGAATGACAGAAAGTGTCCGGTGTCTCCCGGTGTATTAACGGTATTAACGAGTATTAACGAAGGATCAAAGCAACACTGATGATGTCAAGATGATGCAGACATCAACATCGAATCAGACGGCATCACATGACATGCTATGCTATGCGAGCATTTCCGATTCGCTAAGCATTGCGTCCAGGGTTCGGTGATCGAAAGCCGACTGCCCTCCCTGGCTGCTCGCCGAATTCCGAAAAAAGAAACCCCGTCGACAATCAGTGGATTCCCTCTGCGACTGCCCTTGGAGGTCTAGAGCCGAAGCTAATTGATCTTCAGGCGTGTCCTGGTACAGTGTAGCACTTACGCCAAATTCGCTATCTCGCGCCACGACGCTCCCGAGTAGTAGTTCGAGCGCTTTAGCATGCATACACGCACAAGAAACTAAGGAATGAATCTTTTAATAATGAATAGAAATTCTTGCAAGACACAAATCCGATCCAGCACTGCAAATATTCATTTGTTGCACTTGCTCAATGGTAGGTTGCGATATTCACCAATAGCTACGACTTTCGTTTCGGCGCAAATAAAATGCGATGGCAAGCGGAAAGATATGGGTCACAAGCAGCAAGCACCCTGAAGAGGGTCTACACGTCTTATCCTGCCGCGCGTCTAGCAGATCCCCTACTTCCGAAGAAGATTGGACCTTATTCTTACATTGTCATTACACTCATTATTAACGGCGGAATCCCTTGATGGGATTCCTGTATAAAACGGGGTGCAGCTCTCATCTGCTTTCTCATCCACTTATCCACTGGAATAATTCTTCTGGACATGACTTTCGCATTCATCAGTCTTTTCGTTGCTCTCCTGCCGTATTTGGCCCAGGCTTCTCCCTCGGTGTCTCGCCAGCCAAGTCAAGTCGCAGGAGCCGCCTATTGTAAGTTAGCATATCTTTATTTGGATTTAGTAAACCTGATTAAAGGACTCCGTATGAAACAGTTATGACTAATGAGCCCACTGGCAACTATATCATCAGTAGTGCGATCGGCTTCGATGGAAAAGTGACCGTCAAGACAGCCACTGCCACCGGTGGTGATGGTGAGTCTACCTACTCTCTTGACTCCGTGCTTTTTGTTGAACATATATTGTAACAATCATTCAGGTTCCGCGATTCCTCAGCCTCCAAACGTAGGAGATCCATTGTTTTCTCAAGGATCAGTTACACTTTCTGGAAACATTCTTTACGTTGTTAACGTAAGTGCTTGAGGGTTTTTATTAGCACTGTCAGGCAAATATAAATCAATCCATAGGCTGGCTCAAACACTATTTCGACGTTCGCGGTTGATCCAAGGGATCCTACCAAGCTCCAACCCATCGGCAAACCTGTTAGTTCGGGGGGAGAATTCCCGGTTTCAGTGGCCGTATCCAAGAAGAGGGGACTAGTCTGTGTCTTGAATGCGGGTAGAATCAATGGAGTGAAGTAAGTTGCCTAGTTCCTTCGAATACATTTTTACTCACACAACGCAGCTGCTTTAAACCCAGTAACACGAAAGGCCTTGTCCCAGCCCCTAATACCCAACGCTCAATGAATCTGACCCAAACGACACCTCCCGCCGCGGGTCCCGGTCCCAATGGATTAGGCCATGTCATTTTCAATGAAGCCGAGACCCAGCTCATCGTTTCGGCCAGGCAAATAGGTCCGTCAGAAGTTGGTCTTTTGGCCGTCTGGGATATCAATCCCGCAGGAGGGCTCTCCCAAAACTGGGGGCAAATTGTCGGTGGAGTAGCTCCCTTGGGATTGGCAATTTTGCCTGGAAAAAATGCGGTCATCGCGACAGATCCAGCTTTAGGTTACGAAATCTATGATTTAAATGCACTCTCAGGACGTCAGAACAAGACTGGTGTCTTCCCGGTTCCAGGTCAAGGGTCTCTCTGTTGGTCCGTATACAATCCGAAGTCAGGGAATGTTTATCTAGCTGTGAGTAGATCATCATTTCCACCGTAATTTTGCTTATATCTCAATTAGGATGCGTTGGGGGCCAATGTTTTGGAAGTTTCCGTCAATGCAAACCTTGGATCTACCATTGTCAACAAGTATAACCTTTCACCGGGTAGCCAAGCTCTAGACTCTGAACTCGCCACAATTGCAGGAAAACAGTACGTGCGAGGTTATCCTAAACTCTATCACATTTACTCATCGAATGATAAAAGGTATTTGTATGTCCTGGCTGCTAACACTCAAGCAATCAACGTCCTTGCCCTACAAGCACCCGGCAACGCGACTATACTTCAAGCGCAGCCATTTGGTCCTGCAGCTACAAGCCTCGGAGTTTCCCAAGGTAAGAAACATGAACCATAGGAAACAGCAATGTTGGCTAATAGATCATTTTCAATAGAAACGAGGTATGTGCAAGGAATGGCCGTGTACCTTATCCAATAAATGCAAGGAGAACGATAAATATTAGAGCTGATACTCTGTGGCCTATTCTGGGAATTGTCTTAGAATTGCGTTATTTATTCGAAATAAGTATCTACAATACATACAGAGATAGGAGTTTTAGAATATTTTGTAACCTAATTTACGAAATTTAATTATTATTATCTATCTGCGATTTATCTTCTTATTCGTTCGGTCTTGTGGTTGACTCTAATGGAATTGAAATAATGCTTTATAGTGGATTGGTCGCAGGCAGGATGCGGTGCAAGTATTTAGTAAGGCGATAAGCGTGTGAGTTAATGCTGACAGTGTTCATCTTACCACTCAGTAATTATTCTTGGTGCAGATCCCTGACAGGTATGCGGCCAACCCAACTCGGAAGATTGCCAGGATCAGGCCGGCCGACGCCTTGTTAATTAAAGAGATATGTAGATTCCAAGCTTGTCCCCACAGGATCGAATATATAACTCTCAAAAGAAGGGCATGTGGTTTAGTGGTATAACATTCGCTTAGCATCAGTTAGTGACTGCGAAAGGTTCGGCGTTCAATTCGCTGCTTGTCCAGTCCTCTTTTTGTTTTCTCGTGCGTTAGCGTTCATTCAAATCACAAAACTAGGCATATAATTTTCTCCAGTGCAACTTCTTTTCAAACCTGACAGGGTGCTAGTATCCGCTAATGGGGCGATATATTCCAACGCATCCCAGTAGCCCCAGGCTTTTCCCTGATTTCTGAAAATGATATATTTGGAGCTAGAAGCACCGTTAAAGAATTTATTAGTGAAATATAGATGTAAGTAATTATAAATGCACCCAACAAGTTATTGTTATTTGAGCCAAGCGATGCTTCGGCCCTTGTAGGATATGAAGGGCAGTGTGAAATATCCGTTTGCTACTGTAGTTGGTAGCGCATTCGCTTCACGCGAGAGGTCGTCGGTTCGAGCCCGGCGTGAGCTATTTTGGCACTATATTAAAAGCTAATCGTATGCTCATAATATTATGTTCTACTATCAAAATTTTTAGTATAGATACTCATTAGAATGTCCGCGGAGAATGAGTCGGTGAAATCAATTTTGAAATTTATCGTCCAATGATGGATTCCACCAGTATAGCCCCCTTTTTCGTAATATATGTAAGCTACAATCTCCGTGGGAAACGTAATCGACGTCCATTTGGTATGAAGACTGACATACCAGGCATCATATTTTCCCAAGTCTCGTATTGTAGGTCCACCCTAGCCTTGATGCAGCGTCATCCAGTATAACAGTGCTCTTCGTTCCGCTCAACCTCGATCCACTGAGGACATTTATTCAATTCATCAAATATTTCAATAAATTGGAGCTGATTCGAAACGGCCAAATCCTGGAGAAGCTTGTCAATGGTTTGGTGTTCTATGTCCATCTTGGCAAGAAATCCACCGAGATGAGTCAATTTTTGAAGCTTTGACACGGCTTTCAACCGTCGCTGAGTGAGATCTAAAGGCAACGTTTGCTAGAAGAAAGCTTAGTGACATGAATGATTTGATTGACATGAAGAACATACGAGGGTGTAATTTACTGTATAAATGAAACAGGGCTTCTCCAGCGATGGACATGCCGCAGGCAAGCCATCCAGTACCGGGGAAAATCCCGGAGTGACCGCGACAGCAAGTGTGCGCAAAGATGATCCAGCGTGTTTTAGAATACCCAGAATATCATGTGGGGTCAAGTACGAATGGCCAGTACCCAGAGTAATACATTCCAAAGACTGTGACATCATGGACAAAGGAATTCCGCCCAGTCGAAAGTCTCCATCAACATTTAACGATAGCAAACGGGGCAAGCCAGGTAAGTTAGCGATTTTGTCAGGTTGCTCCTGGTCTTGGATATATCAAAACCTATTCCGTAATCGCAGGTATTACAACTTTGGATGTCTCACGAGAAACCTGCCAATAAAGCTCTCCCTTTCGTGAGTATCCATATTGTCAGGATATAAACGAATACGGCCTTGTACAGAGAACCGGACGAGTTGAAGCCAGTGGCTGTCTGATAGGACCACTTTCATATCAGGGCTTTCGAATTTTGAAGCAAAGGATCCCGCCAGATGAAGGCTTTGAAGGCCAGGATTATTCAATGTGAGTGCCCTGAAGAAAGACGGCCATCTGCCGTTTCCATGACTTCCATAAAGACTAAGACTTATATTTGATAGATTCGTAAAGACACAATCCTGCGAGTCAAATACGTTAAAAGTGGAACATATAAGTGACATGGAAATGATTACCAGTCGTTTTCGGATTAGGTGGTCACATTTAAATAGCCATGCACGACAAGTTGTCGAGGACTATTGACAGGGTTCTTCAGACATGCTCTCAATCTGGCAAAGATTGGGACACCTCTCTGCAATGGTATCGTAGACTAGCCCGATAAAATATATGAGTCCGACCTGGGATTTCGTAATCCAATAAAATGATTGGAGGTTGCTCATTTGCTTTAGAGCAAGTAAGAGATGATTCATACACTTCTGGATTTTTTCCTTGTGTAGTGACAGAATTGTTACAGGAAGAAACGGTCTGGAAATGGGAGACATCGGCTCCTCCCAAAGTGACTGCGGTATCAAGACACTGCTTGTGACATTTGAATTCCCTTCGAAGAGTTTTAACCTGTGTACACGTCGTGCAAGGCCTGGTCTCTTCGATAGTGTCTCCCTTAGTTTGAATTGTGTGATATCACAGCGAATATGACGATAAGGAAGGTGTTTAGAACCACTTCCGCATGCCGTTTGGAGACTAAGCTCAAGGCAAGCAAGTCATCGACATCGTCCAGCAGTTGAACGACATATTCAAAGAGTTCGATGGGGATTCTTCCCTTGTTCATAAGTCGATTTACTGAAGGAATTAATGCAAAATTAATGTGATACTATTCTTTTTCATTTAGACTAGCCGTCGTTTGCGTGAGAGAGTAGGTATCCACACGAAGGAAGAAAAACATACCCTTTGTTGCTTGATGCCACTTAGTACGAGTTAAACAAGTAGTCCGTTCAGACGATGAAAGACGGTCAAAAAGTGAGAATAAGATTGAGTATTTTGAACTAGTAAATATCTATAGTCAGGAGAAGGTGGTGGTGGTAGAGAGTAAGGATGGAGAATCGCTGTCCATTCGAATCATGTTCGCTTGATGCCGGCAATGTTGGGAGCGAACCTGCCATCCAATTACAATGCATGAGCTAATTATGCGTCCGGCTGTGACACTTCTGTCACACGCTATTTCTGTCCCATCCAATGAAAATGAACGGTCAATCAACTGTAGGTAACAGCTCGCAGTCAAAGTCAATTTCCGCTGTGCAATATGCGTTGCGTCTGGGGGAATGGGCTATAAATTGGCGCCGAAGCGTACCTGCTGCTGTTTCACCGCTCACATTCCAGCCTCATCTCATTACTTATATCCGCGAGCCAACGTTCATTAGCTAGTCAGTGCTATACTCGAGCAAGTAATTATTTCTTCTATTTAAGCTACATCTTTTATTAGCACTATTCATCGAAACGAGTGAGTCAGCCAGTGCGTGAATTTTAGAGGCACCCGTAAATACGGTGGCGACCCCTATATCAGATGACAATAGCTATGCGATTTGCTTTTGCAGGTGCACCTGAGGTTTACAAGCCGCGTTCTCTCCTCATCTCTAGCCAAAGACTCCGGTTTAGGTGGAGTTATTTTCCCGATAATGTTGAGCCATCTGATCAATAACCCAAAAGTGGGCTTTACGTGGGGTGTGAGGCATTCTTCGCGGCTAACCATGTCTTAAATTTATTGACAAACGATCTAAAGCAGTTGCTTTGATAGATAGGGGATAAATAACCCTCTCTCAAGATTCTACGGACTTCACCGAGTTTAGTCGATAAATTCGAGTTTAAAATGTTTGTTTACACAGGGCGAATCGGTCGAGGCGCCCATCACGTCACCGCTGTGACCCGCGCCGCATATTCCTTTCCTCCTCACACTTCAAGCAGTCGGGTTCAAGGTCATGCAGGGGGCGTGCGATTGGGCAGCCTCCGGAGTGCGCGACCTTGTGGGTTCACCCGCCGCATGGTTTAAGGGGGAAAGAGAGGGACTTCCGCCGCAATCCCATCGCTTCTCTCCGCCTCGCTAGGTACGTTCCTCCCCGCTGTCGAGGAGCCGCTTGCTAACTGAGACCGCTAGTCTCCCGCGTCGTTTTCTAGAGGATCCCGCCATAGTCCCACATCTTCAGTCTGACCTCGCTAGGTACGTTCCTCTCCGCGGTTGAGGAACTCGCTCGCTAACTGAGACCGCTAGTCTCCCACGTTGCCTTTCTTTGCTTTCCCGCCCACCGCTGCCCTCTGTCTTATTTTATTTTTTATTCTTTTGCCTGCCGCTTCTGTTTATGTCATGCTATTTTTTGTCTTTCCTGTCGTGTTTATTTCTTTCTAACTGCCTATCGTGTTTATTTCTTCCCGCGATACTGCCTGTATTTTCTCTTTTTGCCACTACCTGTATTCTTTTCTGTTCCGGAAGGTCATCAATAAAAAACTGTTTTGGATAGCGCTTAGCGCCGAGTATCACCTACCTCTTCGCGTCCTCCCGTCCTCTTGCAACTCAGCCGATTCGATTAATTTTATTCCGTGAGTGAGACTTGCGATCTACTATTGTCACCCATTGATTGTTGTTTCTAATCTATCCAAGCTACAATTTCCGTGGAAAACCTAATCGAGTTCCATTTGGTAAGAAGACTCCCATACCAGCCAGCATATTTCCCTAAGTCTCGTAATGTAGGTCCGTTTTAGCTTTGACACAATGCCATCCAGCATAACACTGTTTTTGTTCCGCTCAACCTCGATCCACTGAGGACATTCGCTCAATGTATCAAATATTTCAATAAATCGGAGCTCAGTTGAAGTGGCTAAATCCTGGAGCAGCTTATCAAAGGTTTCATGTTTCATGTCGATACTGGCAAGGAATCCTCCGAGATGAGTCAATTTTTGAAGCTTTGACACGGCTCTCGATCGTCGTTTAGCGATATTTAAAGGCATTGTTTGCTGGAAGAAGGCTTAGTAGGTCGAATGAGTCAATTAACAGGAAGAACATACAAGTCTGTAGCCTGAATAAATGAAACAGAGTCTCTCCAGCGATGGACACGCAGCAGGCAAGCCATTTAGTTTCGGGTAAAATTCGGGAGGGACAGCAAGTGTGCGTAAAGATGATCCGACGTGTTTTAGAATACCCAGAATACCATGTGGAGTCAAATAAGAATCCACTGCCGGGTGGCCAGCACCCTGAGTGATACATTCCAAGGACTGCGACATCATAGACAAAGGAATTCACTCCAGTCGGAAGTCTCCATGAACATCCAACGATAGCAAATGGGGCAAACCAGGTAAGTTAGCGATTTTGTCAGGTTGCTTCTGGGCTTCGATGATTGACCTAAAAGCACTCTGTAATCGCAGGTATTGCAACTTTGGATGTCTTACGAGAAACCTGCCAATAAGTCTCTCCTGTTCATCAGTTTCCATATTATCAGGGTATAAACGAATACGGCCCTGTACAGAGAACCGGACGAGTTGAAGCCAGTGGCTGTCCGATAGGACCACTGTCATATCAGGAATTCCCAAATCTGAAGTAGCGATTCCCACTAGATGAAGACTTTGAAGGCCAGGATTACTCAATGTGAGTGCCCTGAAGAAAGACGGCCATCCGCCGTTTCCATGACTTCCATAAAGACTAAGGCTTATGTTTGATAGATTGATAAAGACACAACCCTGCCAGGAAGATAAGTTAGAAGTGGAACATACAAGTGACCTGGAAATGGTTACCAGTCGTTTTCGGATTAGGTAGTCGCATCCAAATAGCCATGCACGACACGTTTTAGAGTACTCTTGATAGGGTTCTTCAGACATGCTCTCAATCTGCCAACGATTGGGACAACTCTGTGTAATGGTATCGTAGACTAGCCCGATAAAATACATAGGT